ATTAATAAAGTAATATAGGAAGTCGAACCCTATTTTCAAAAAGTTTTATTATGTTTCTCTTGCCTTCGTTTTGGACATCTTGGATCTCAATGCAAAGCACGTCCCAGGTGCAATAAATGTCATGATTTTTATAACACAAAAGATTGTACAGTAAATATATATACTCCTACCTGTCTCAGCTCTCAAGGCAGTCATTTTACGACAGACCTAAGTGCATGCCCTGAGTTCTCTAGGCAAAAACAAATCAAGAATATAATCTCATCAATAAATTTAAATTTCTTTAATGCCTGTAAACAAATACCACAAAATCATATACCAATATTGCCGCCAGACATAATAGTTCTTCCTTGCCAACCAACTCTAATATAAATGATCAGTCTTATCAAGTAACTCCAAATCAAATTGGTTCGTTACCAAAAAAGTTCTCTTCACAAATGTTTTATACCAGCAGTAGTCCAGAAAAATCAAATTTAAAACGATAACGTCCAAGTACTCCCGATCCTTTGGAATCAGCTAGAAAAGAAATAATTTTCCTAATAAATATCCCTAGACAAAAAGGTGGTATTTATAATACCTCTAAATATACAGAGAACAGAAATACAACAAATTTGCAGACACAAGGAGTATCATTAGGTTTAAATAATGTAATTTTGGAATTGGTTCTTAATATAATTAGTTCATTAAAACTTACTGAAAATGTACATGCATCAAAAACAGAGATTATACAACAAATTAATAAATACTTAAGTACGGCATCGATCTCGAAAGTAGACTTATATGGACAAGCGTCATCTTCTCAGACATAACTAGTTTCATAATTTTTTTACAATGAAACTATCGTTGAGCAGTTTCTAGTAAACCAAATTTAGAAAACTTACTTATTTAATAAAATGTGTATGTGTCCATGTTATCAGAAACATGGTTTAAACCGGGAAAATTCAATAACTTCTCTGTTATTGAATTTATCTCTGTCTAAATTTATTAGATAACTATAATTTTACTTACATATGCATGACTGTTAAACTTATACTACCTATAATATCAATATACAAAGAACCACGTATTAGAGTAACAGTTGAAGAATGTATCCATTTTTTTAACACATTCCTCCGCCATTTATCATTTGAGGGAACTTCAACGCTCACAATATGGCATGGGGATGCGAAACTAATGATACTCATGGTAAAGTTTTATTAGAGGTTATTAAATAATGTAGATGTTCTAATGTAGATGGTTCTTCAACTCTTGCACTGAGTTCCAGTCCATCAGCAATCGACATAACAATTTGCACCTTCTTCTTCTTCTTCAAGTTCCACTCCTATCGGAGATTGGAAATCATTCTGGCAATTATAATTTTATTGGTTACTCGCCTGAATAGTTCAATTGAACTGCATCCAAACCATTCACGAAGATTGCGTAGCCACGAGATTTTACGTCTTCCTACGCTTCTTCTATCTTTGATTTTACCCTGCATTATATTCCTTAGTAGTTCGTACTTTTCACCTCTCATGATGTGCCCCAAGTATTCCAATTTCCAATTTGCACCTAGGACATTATAACTAAATTAACTTGGTCTGTTATTCAAGATGCACATGGTTCTGACCATCTACCCTTGACCATCTCTTTAGAAAATCCCAAACGAGCAACACCACCTGGTAACAATACACTAAAAAGATGGAATCTAAATAAAGCAAATTGGAATTTGTATTCATCCAACTTTTCTTCAGAAAATCTTCCTCAAACTTATGAGGAATTAGTTAATAAAATAAACAGATGCGCATTCATTGCTATTCCAAAAGTATCCAAAAATTATATATAACTATAGAAAAGATTCCAAATCCATGGTGGGATAATAACTGCGAAACAGCTGCAAATAACCGTAAAAGAGCAAATAAACGTTATAAAACAAATCCCAATATTCATAATTTATTTGAATAGAAAAAATTGGATGCATTAGCAAAAAAACTTTTTAAAAATAGAAAAAAAAACAAGGTTGAATAAACTACTGCGAAAATCTTATTTCCTACAGTCCAATCAGCGACGTCTGAAAGAAAGGACATCGCTACAAAAATCGAAACAGTCCAATAAACTCCCGATAAACTGCGAAGCTGCATGGATAGAAGATTTCCACTTGAAAATTTCACCTCCTTGGGTACCAAATCAAATAAACGAAGCTACAGTCACCGTTTCCAGAGAATACTCAATCTAGAAAAACCATTTGAATTGTGGGAATTAAATTATGGACTCAAAAAAATAATAGTTCATCTCTAGGGATGGACTGTATATCATACTCTATGTTATATTTTTTACCTACAGAATACAAATCATTATTATTACAAATTTTTAACAATATATGGCAAAATGAGAATTTAATTCCAAAACATGGAAGGACTATATTGTATTGCCTATAAAGAAGCCAGGAAAGCCAGATAACAACGTTGAGTCTTACAGACCTATATCTTTAAGTTCTTGTATACTAAAAACTCTAAAGAGATTAATCAAAAATCGGTTGAATACTGACTTGAATCCGAAGATATCCTTCCCAAATCTCAATGTAGCTTCCGGAAATCCAGGTCTACACAGAATGCTCTCACTTCACTAGTTTTCTCTGTTCAGGTCAATTTCACAAATCAAGAATCAACAGCTGCAGCATTTATAGATGTAACCTCTGCATTTGATAACATAAATTTATATATTCTACATAAGAAATTGTTATATCTTGGAATGTCAGTTAAAATTTCAGATTTCATTATATCCTTGTACAAGAATAGATGGACTTACTTAAAAATAAATGAGACACTTTTAGCGCCAAGGCTAACGAATATAGGTATACCACAGGGTAGTATTTTAAGTCCACTTCTCTTTTCATTGTACAATATAGATCTAGAACAGATAGTACCTCCACACTCTAATATATTGCAGTTTGCAGATGATGTTGTGTTGTATACCTCCCATACTACCCTTGACATTTGTAGGCGTCAACTCGAATCTACACTAGATTGTATAAAAATTATTACCATTCTCTAGGCTTATCAATATCAACTACAAAGACTAAAATTTGTTTTTTTTTCAAAAAACGCCAAACTCCTCAAGGTAACTTTAAAATACGAAAAATAGAATTTCCAATCAAAAATTGTGTAAAATATCTAGGCACATATATAGATCGTAAACTGTTATATCCTTAGAGCATTTTGTAAATCAGTTGGGGAGCTGACCCGAATATTGCATTGCTATTGTATCGCTCAATTATTCGACCAATTTTCGACTACAGTTGTCATTTATATGGGTCTGTGTCAACAGAACATCTTGATAAAATTAAAACCCAAAAGAATAAATTTTTAAGGCTATGTTTTGGTTACTTAAAATCTACTCCTATTAGTATTATTGAAATTGAAGCTAAAGAGCCACCCCTTACACTACGCAGACAGTTTTGTACAGATAAGTTTGTAGCTAGAGCTATATCAAAAAACTTCAGCTATTTAAAAAATATTCGTAACTTGAATATATTAGACTTAAGCCATAAATATTGGCGTAACAAAAAAACTCCCATATACGTTGAAAGTTATAGGAAATTGACAATATTTGAAGAACAATTGTATCAAAATAAAATACCACCAATTTATACACAACCTCCTAAGACTCTCTTCTCTAAGATAATAGAAACATATTATAAGGATTCAAACCTTCCATGAAGTATGATCAACAAAATAATTAAAGATAAGTGGCCTGCATTTCAATATATTTTTACTGACGGCTCTAAAATTCAAAATAAAACGGGTTGTGCAATATATCACTGGAATTCTGATTACAAAGAATCATGTCGATTGCCCAATGAAGCTTCAATATATACTGCCGAACTATCAGCTTTATTACTTGCGTTAAAATATATAGCCTCTATTGGTATGAATAATTATATCATTCTGACTGATTGTAGAAGCATTATGGACAAACTCACTTCTATCAAAACCACAAAAAACCTAAACCATATTGAGATAGAAATAAAGAGGTTACATTATGATATTATTTCCGCAGGTAGCTCGATTATTATTTGTTGGGTAAAAGGACACTCTGGAATATTAGAGAATAAAAAAGACGACAAATTGGCTAAATCTGCAGCTTCAACCAAACATACTTCTTTCAGTAGCAGATATAGATAATATCAGTAGAAACAACTGCAAATGAAGATGGCAACGTTTATACAACCAAAGTACAACTGGAATAAACTTTAGAGTTTGCCAACTACTAATTTCCAATGAGAGATGGTTCAAATATGAGACTAATAGGTTATTTCTAAAAACAATAAACAGAATAAGATCAAACCACGCACTCACTCCTGCATAAAACACAACATAGGTATCACTGGTAAACCATATTGCTCCTGTGGTAAAGTGGGACATCTGCAGCACCTTATATTGGAGTGTGGACAGTAGAGACAAAGTATCAAAATGATGTATTAAGAACTAATTTAGCTAAATTGTCCATTGCCCGTTAATTTAAATACAATTATTTTTTCAAATAATATGTCAAAAATTGAACGTGTATACGAATATAATAATTCCTGTAAATTTATATTATAAATAGGCTTACGTCATAAAATCAAAAATTGTAACTTCCACAAATAGTCTGGCTAATTGGCTATGCCAAAGCCATTATACAATAATAAAAAAAAATAAATAAAAACAGAGAAGAAAAAAATTAACAAATAGGTTAAACCATAAAGTAAAACAAAGTTTTATATAACGTGTAAATAATAGGGGAAAAGTAAATCGACCAAAAAACAGGGTAGGGGACTGTCCATTATTCACTCTTAAAATTTTTAGAAGGAAATGGTAAGAACTTAATGTTCCCTTACTTATAAGCAATATAAATTAAAAAAAATAAGACACTATAGTTAGGTTTTAACTCCTAATATATAATATATACAATAAAATATCTTGTATTTAAAACAAAAATAGGAGAGTTAATCAAGCATATACTACAGTGTTAGTAGTTTTAAGTACCTTAGTAGACAAAGCAGGATCTTCAGCTCTTTTGATATTCCTATTCCTGTTATAGGGCTTAATCTCTATATTCTTTTCAGCAACAGAACCTCTAGGTTTAAAGGAAACTGATTTCTCTAGTTTTGGAGGAGCACTGAACGTTCTAGGTGTTAATGTTCTAAACTTCGTCCCTCTGGAAATGGGAGTAGTGGAAGTAGTTATAGATGGTGTTTTTCGTGAAGGAAATCGTTTTTCGGAAATAGGTTCTGAAGTAGTGTAAGGTGTGGTTCTGGATGAAAATCGTTTTGGTGGTAAGGGCTCGGATAGTTTATTAACATTAGAGGTCGGTGTAGATCTACTTCGGTTCCATCGTGAAGAGGATGATGAGGGCAAAGCTTTAGGTTTTATTTCGTTGTCACTATCAGTTACCTAAATAAATATAAAGGTTAATTAAACAAAAGAAGTACAAATTTAAAGACATAATACTTTTTAATTTTTAGTATATAAAAAAGTTTTTTTTTCTCGTTAAAAAAATCATTTTAACACATTTTAGTAGTATTAAATTGTTTTTAAATCCGAGGCTATAGGTGTTAAAAATTATAGAGCGTCCATTTTATTAATTGAATAAAACTGAAATATATTTTTGTGTATATCAAATAAATTACTTTTATGTTAATAATCTTCATACCTATCGGAATTATTGGGCTAAATTAAGAGCAATTTTCTACTACTTAGGAGAGAATTATCATCATAAATTGAAAACGAGGTAAATGGCTAGTCTCACAGATTCCAAAGGGAGCTCCCTATGCAGAGCAAAAGGGGGTGGTGCAGAATGAAAATAATCGGAACCTTTTAATTGTGTGTTACTTGATATATAAAGAGAACCACTTCTCTATCTTTTTTCATTCTGCGACTCTGAGTCTAGGCCGCTTAAGTATATATAGGTATGTAGAGAAGGCCAATGCTACAATTAAATTTAACATTATATATTGCATTATATTTACGCCTTTGTACTTGGTTTTTAAAAACCTCATGTTGTGTATGTCTATCTTTGTAAACATTAAACAGATTGAAACTAAGCTCACAATAAAGGATCTTCTTCTTACTGTACCTATCCGTTAACGATCAGAATGTCTATTTTAACTTTGCTTGCAGCTATCCGGAACAATATGGTTGTAGATATATTAAATCACTTTCAAAAGTTTTAAAGCCAAGATATTTTGCTTCTCTGATCCTTCCTTTCCAAATGCCCTGCCCAGAAAAATGAGCTGCAACACGCAATATCTCTATTTATTTCTCATAAATATCATCGCCAAAATATTTTAATTTGCGCTCTTTGCTTGTTTTAATAATCTCGAATTCCTAGTCTATTCTATGTAACAATATAAGGTTGAATGTTCGAATAAATGAACTTTGATGGTACACAAGGCAAATATCGAACACAGTATTTAATTAAATCTTGCCCAAGTACTTTCGATCACAAGATCATCCTCAGGGGCATTTCGAAATGACCGCAATTGACGAAATGCCCCTGAGGATGATCTTGTGATCGAAAGTACCCATGAAATTCTTAAGATGCACCTGCCACACCATATATCGAAGGCCTTGAGCTTTCTTAAAGAAGCTTCAGAATTTGTTCATACCTCTACTTCACAATATTGTAGACAGTTTGTAACAGAGATTTTATGTCTACGAACGTTAATCTTGTTTTTCCTATGTATTGTTTAATTTCAGTAGGGTGGTCCCTTGGCTGTTTATATTTATTTATATTAGTACCACGGAATTTATAGCTGTTTACCTGGTCAATTGATTGTTGGTTAATAAAAATCCGTGTATTTAATATTTGGCTTTTACTAACTACTATGAACTTTGTTTCTTTCATATTGAGATCAAGTTCATGTTCTTTATTTAAAGAATAGAAGATGAATCGTGAATGTGTTGCTTATGTGAGTCCATTTCAAATAGGTACAAGAAATAATAAATAAGACTTACTCACAATCAGTTTAATTTAACTATCTATACGACCGGTTTCGCTTTCTACAATATGCAAAGCATCTTCAGGTCTCGATAAAAAGTTAATCAAATGATGCCGGTTCTCTATCAATTAATAGTTGGAAGAACATGGTTCAAACTGTTTAGACGAAGTTTAAACCATGTTTTTCCAATCATTAATTAATAGAGTACCGGCATCATTTAATTAACTCTGTATCGAGACCTAAAGCTGCTTTGCATATTGTAGAAAACGAAATCGGTCGTCTAGATAGTTAAATTAAACTGATTGTGAGTAAGTCTTATTTATCCACAAGGAATCTACGTTCCTGTAGTTGGCTGTATACCATATATTAAAAAATTTATTAAAAACCCTTTGTAAAAGGTATATATTTAGAACCCAAACGGGCTAAGTTAAAAAGACAAAACGTTTTCGGAATCCATATTCCATCATCAGTGTCTAAGAATACATGAATGTAGCCACTAAATATATGGGTAAAAACCCGTTAACAAATAATTAATTACATTTAGTTTACAAATTTTTTTGTAATGGTTTAGGATGTTAAAGTTACCGTTGGATTGGTTAACAAGGCGTTTAACAAAGATTAGGTAACGTGGCATAAGTCTTATTTATTATTTCTTTTACCTAATAGAAGATGACTTTAAAGAGATATACACAAGTTTAGTCCACCAAAGAAAGAGAGATAAATTGCAACACCTTGATATGTTATTTTACTGTAGCGTATGCGTTTTTTTGGGGTCACAACAATAACACCTAACAATATGTTATAGCATACGAGCCCATGGGACATTTTTAATGTCCCATGGGCTCATTTGACCCAGGTTAAAATAGACCTAATAAGGAATGATTTGACCCAACATAATTCACGTATAAATCAATATTAAAATATTTAAGAACAACTTTGGAAACTATACTGTCAATATTTATCGATACACGTAGCTACACAGGTAAGGTAAACTTACCAAACAAGGGGAGGGGGTTGTAAAACATTTTTGTACAGCGTTTATAACTTAGGTAGGTAATACAAAAATATTGACCTGTGATCTAATGCTGTACAACAATATATTGGTACCAGTAGCAAGGAAAATCTTCGATTTTCGGAAAATTTTGATCCCTTTTTGGTAACTTCTTACAGTACGATATTCATACAGAAAGTTTCAGATCGTTATTAACATTAATTTTGTTGCAGTTCCGTTGATATCGGCTGGAATAAAGGTGAGAAATCTAGGGCGCAACTCTTGTTTTTTAAGTACTACAAATGAAGTCATTTAAACCAATATGAATCTGAATATTTACATTTGGTTGCATAAAATAATAAAAATTTTGGATATGCAGTACATTTTTTACGTTACGTTTTATGTGCTTATGAGAGAAAAATTAATTTCTTTAAGATAAGTGCGACAATATGATGTCTTTTCTGTCCTTTTTCTCTTTTCCTGCTTCTCTAATGACTTATCTTCGATATGAAATTGCTTGCTCGAGCCTCAGTCCCCACTCTGGGCTACGAATATGTTCGGTGACCCGGCACTCGATAATGTGGGCTCTTCTTTTTCCCTCTTTTGTGCTAGATACTGTCGGTTTGATTTTAGACCATCTCTTAAATCCAGGGTTGCCACTTTCCATATCCGCCGAAAACATTCTTCTCCGCCAAGCCTACGGTTTTAATCTTCACCCGCTTTCCTGAGTATATTCCACGTGGTGCTTGTAGCTTGTAGGTATTATTGTCAAGCATCGGGGACATCGGGGACATAATTTTAATGCGGAAAATGATCAGTTGGATAGGTCCCAGTTCTGTTTCTTTCATATAGATTTGTTAGGTAAGAAACTAAGCCTGCGATGCAATAAGATCTGTTTTAAAGGAAATCATTAAGAATCCTCCAAAACCCCATATTTTTGTTTGTTTGATTCTCATATTCGTATGGTTGTGTTTTTTAAGGTTCTAGTACAGCTGCTCAATGTGATGTTATTTTTAAATTACAAAAAATACGGTATCTCTTTGGCCTTGAAAGAACAACACATTGCAGAAACTACTTATATAAATATATAAATAAAGGGATTTTAATGCTTTATCGATTTTATTTACAGATCCCGTCCACTAAGCTAATAAAGACCATACTATTCAGTAGAAGAGTTTCTTAACGAATAGTTAAGTAATTACAATACCTTTATGTACAAGACGTTAAAGTATTTTGATATATTTGGATATCCCATGCCCAACTTTAACTTATTTCGTAAAGTTGTATTATGTAATTTGCAATTTACTTAAATTTTTGATTGTTTATTTTATTACCCTTTATCTTGTGATATTAACAATTTATATAATTTCAGTAAATTTTAATTGATATTGTTATTTTCTGACTTTTTGTAAACTTTTCCATAAAGCAAAAAGCCGTAGAATTCTATTATATTATTGTTTTCGTAATTATGCCATGTAGAACATGTTACATCTTTCACAGTATATTTTGTAAGCCAAAAGAACGAAATTTATTTCATTTTTCGTTACTCCATTCAGACTTAAGCATGCCGTCTTTCTTTACGTAGCACAATTTAATATATTAACCTAAATTATGAGCACAACCTAATTTATATTTCGAGCAAAACATCAACACTAAAGAACATGCTTAATAATTGTAAAGAAATAAAACAATTATGACGATTTCCTGTATTTCTAAAATATTTTTAAATTTTAAGAGTTGTTTGAAAAATAAACACTATCTTAACCTTAAATAAGTACTATATCTTGATATGTAATTACCTCTTTAGCAGGCGACGGATGAAACGTGGTACTAAATGATGGTACTAAAGTCACGACATTGCTGGCTCTAAGAAGTGGTAATGAAGAAGGCACTGGTCTTGACTCCTAAAACAGAGAGGTCAATATAATTTCATAAAAACGAGTATTGTTGTTAGATAGTATTGTGTTATTGTTTACTGTAAGAAGGAGGATTTTATTTGATTTGGTTTTTTACTTGTTTCAACAGAAAGAGGTAAAATAAAAGATAATAAAATTGTGGAGAAATAGTGTGTTATCGATCTTAAAAATGGGATGCTGGATATTAAATTATTCAACATTAATCCAAATATGAAATGAAAAGTTCATAATAGTTAATTTTATAAAGCACACAAATACCAGAAAAGTATGGTTTTGAAGTAGTTTTATTGTAATATGTTTTGTAATATTTACTAAATTTTTTAAAATAAACCACAGTAATTCTAATTAAAGAAGACAACACTAAAGTGGAAAAAATCTGAATTTACAAATAAGTTAAAGAATAAAAACAATCAGATATAAATATATAAAAACATAATATAAGAAAATTAAAAAAATAATCATAAAATTGTCTACTTGGAACGGAAGAGGTATAAATAAATAACAGGGAAGAAGATATAATTGAAAAGATGAAACTACAAGAGATAGACTATCTCGAAATAACTAGCATGAAAAAGAAGGTCAGTGGAATGATAAATTTAAAGGACGATTACTGCTTATATTGGCCTGAACCAAATGGGGTACATAATAATAATAAAAAAACAGGCTAAACAGACATAAAAGACAAAAACATAATAGGCTCAAGGTACATAAACGAGCTATTTAAAGTAAAAATAGATATGTAATACAAACACAACGAGTATAATAGTGGCGTATGGACTGAATAATGATGCAAGAAAGGAGGAAAAGCAGAATTTTTCGAAACGTTATAAATAGATATAGAGAACGTGGGAGATAACATTATATCAATAGGGGGCCTAAATGATAGATTTATAAGAGACAATAAAAGGATTGAAAGATACCTAGGCAACATGGGGAAAACGATAATGGAAACAGAATTATATACCTATATACTTATAGCAAATTATATGGTTATACCTAATTCAAAATTTATGCACAAGTAGGTACGTACACAAATTTACCAGACACGTCCGCTCGAGAAAAAAAAATCATTATAGGCTATTTTCTTACCAAAAAAAAAAAATTAAAAATGATAAAAGATGTAAAGGACGAGAAGCTGAAATAAAGAGTCGGTATTACATACTCATAATGAAAATATGAAGATATACGCATAACGTAAAAATTACAACATAATCCGAGGTGTTAGTTTTTTTATTTTTATCTTTGTAAAGTAAGTTATATTGGCAGTTTTAAATACTAACCAATATTGCATTTTATTTTGTAATATATTATTGTATTGAATTATGCTGCAGTGTATTGTATTGTAATTTTTATATTAATAACAAAATAAACAATGAATTTTACTGCAGAGTATGTGTAAACAAAGTTTTATGCATTCAGCTCCTTTTATACATATATAAAAATAAAAATATATATTTCATTAAAATTTTGATACAATCTTTCATTTACTATACTCCTATTACATGTCAAATGTTTATATACAGCAAACGATGCAACATATACCTATATACCTAATAATTATTCTCTTTCTGCTCTCTCTTACCTATAGCATTACCTATATAATGATTGTGCAGATTGCCACTCCCGTTTTTTTTTATTAAATTTATTACATATAAATTAGGAATAACAAGTTCGTTTAAAATCCGCAAAAATATACAAGATCCCATTGAAATTAGATAAGTTGAGCGTATGTCAATTAAAACCGAAATTAGAGTAGTAGGTAAATATAGATATAGATACATCTTTATTTAAGTAGAACTATAATATACATACAATATAAAGAAAGTACACTATACATTTTTGATATATTGTTTAAGTAACAGTTTGAAATTATTGAGACTAATAAATTTTTTTACAGAAATTGGTAACTCTAGGTACATATATGTCATCTAAACCTCGGGTATTATAAGAATAAATATTTTTGTTGAAAGAAATGAATTTTCGAAAATATTCAGGTGATAAGCCATTTACTATTTGGAAGGCCAAAATCATGGTGAAATAAAACAGTCTATTTTCAACAGAGAACCAATTTAGAGTATTATTTAACATCGTTCCAATGGGGGTAAGGCGTTTATTTTAAGAATTATTCTCATTCCACGATTCTGTAATTTTTGTAGCATGTTAAGTTTGTTAAGGTTAAATAAATGTAAAATTGATGAGCAATAGTCAAAATGAAGTTGAATTATTGTGTTATATACTGTTATTTTTGATTCCATTGATAAATTTTGAGAAATTCTACTTTGAAAGTAAAGTTTTTTTATATATTTTTTTATGAACGTACTCAAAGTAATTCTCAAAATTCAGAATATTGTCAAGCTGGAATCCCAAATATTAAACTGCTGTGACAATTTAAATATTTTCATTATTAATATTTAAATTTATGATTTCAGAATCATAATGATGATGATAATAGTGTGTTTGGCATGGAAACTAGTACTTTTGCCACAGATTTTTAAATTATTTATGTTATGTTTATCAATTAAAAACTTGATTGTACTAAATTTATATTATATTATATATATATATATATATATATATATATATATATATATATATATATTATATATTATATATTATATATTATATATTATTATATTATATATTATATATTATATATTATATATTATATTTCAGAATCAAGCAAGCTATATTTATGTTTCGTAGTGAAAACCATTGCCTTTGTTTTTTTTTACATTCAACTTCAGTTTATTCATTTTTAAATATATATTAACCATATCTGCATTTGAACCATATTTGAATAGCTAAATCAAAATTTTCATCACTACAACAGATTAGAGTATCATCGGCAAAAAGATTAATAAATATCGTTAATGTACAGAATAAATAAAAGGGGGCCAAATACACTACCTTGAGGAATCTCTGTATTACTATCCATTTCAGATGACAATTGGTCTTTAAATCGAACTTTCTGTTTGCGATCTTCTAAATAATTTTCTAATCACACAAATACTGTGTACCTCCTATACCATACTGTTTAAGTTTAGAAATCATTATTGACCTGTCAATGGTTTCAAAAACTCTTTTTAAATCAAGAATTACACCGACTACGTACTTATTTTTATCTAAATTACTCTTTAGGTAACAAAAAATATGACGTCAGATGTGTTATATGTCTATGCACTTACATCGTGCAAAGTTACATGAATAGCGTATTTTTTGTTCCAAGAAGGAAAGATATTTAGTTGGTTTCGTACTTTATCCCAACCCTGATATATACAGTGCTTTTTAGATAAAACTATCCACCTTAAATAACTTGAACTTGAACTTCTATGTTTTTGGAAAAACGCAAAAACACTTCAAATAATATTTGAAGGGGGAGACATTATATCATATTTAATGTTGCTGGGAAATACACCCTCTCAACCCCTGTATCATTTGTTAATTTTTTTAAATTACTACCCCATTTTTTTATTTTATATTTGGATTCTCCTTTTTGTACTGATTTCAAAAATGTAGAATACCTTTGGCTTAAAGCTATTAGTTTTTTCCGTTAACAAGATAGTATTTCGCTCACCTTAATTGACTTTAACAAAATAGGTTGCAGCATAATTTAAATTTTTTAAATATCTAACCCTACTATTTGTGGTACTTTCAAAACCAAGAAACAAAAAAATTTACTCTTTATTAAAGTGTTCTGGAAGGTTTTTGATATTATTTGGACATTTCTTTTAATCAGTTAATAGTCAACGACAATTGATTATAACTTGTAACAGCCTATTTTAATACGTGTTCAATTTGATCGCTAAAATGGTTTACACTTTGCAAGAAAAAGTCGACATTGTAGGTTTATACTACAAAAATAATAATTGTGCAAGAGCTGCTGTTAGAATGTTTAATGAAACACATCACAATATATATGCAACTTATAAGTATGTGATTGAACTTTAGAGCAACAGGGTCAGTCTGCAATAAAAAGCATACCTGACAGGGACTTGTAAATAAAGCAGTTTAAGTAACTGCTTTATTGCAAGTTAACTTAGAGGCTTAGCAATTACAGACACTGTCAACAATAAGCGGTGCAATCGGTGTTTCATCTTCTACAGCCTTCCGAGTCCTCCATAAATTTAAGTTTTATCCATGTAAAGTTAAATTTGTACAAGCGTTAAATGAAGAAGATTTTGATCGTTGTCTCTAATTTTGCCAATTAATGACACAATGTATCATTAACAATCCACAATTTTTAAACAATATTTGCTTCTCGGATGAATGCTCATTCTCAATAAAAACGGTTTGGTAAACAGACATAATATTTGCCCATACTGGACTGAGAGTGATCTACATACTGTACGCGAATTTCACACACAGCATCATCAAACGTTAAACGTATGGTGTGGTATCCTATTTGATCACATTATCGGACCCTTCTTTATTAATAAAAACTTGGTGCACTGTATCTATAATTATTTAGGCAATTTGTTAATGCTATTAGGACAATAGTAGAAAAAGATGATAATCTTTCCGAAGATTTAGTTGTATTTCAATATGATGGAGCTTCTCCACACTTTGCTCTACCTGTGTGAAAATTTTTAAATGAAACGTTTTCCGGTCCTTGGATAGGTAGAAGACAACAGATGATGGATTGGCCACCTACGTCACCGGATTGAACACCTCTAGACTTCTTCTTATGGGGGTATTTAAAAACAAAAATGTATGCTACTTAACCAGAGTTTCTAGATTTGAGACAAAGAATAGAGGATGAATGTCGACAATTAAATGCGTGTTAAGAAATGTCAGAGAAGAATTTCAAAATAGATTGTACTATTGTATGGAAGTGAATGGCAGCCATTTTAAACAATTATTTGTATACATTTTTGGTAGTGAAATGTTCATTCTAAATGTGTGCAGTAAAATTGTTAAAAAATATTTTTTTTTCAATCCAGTTCTCTTGCCTTTGTATTTATTTTTCTCATAAACTAATTCCCTTAAGC